AAAAGATGAGGGAGAGAACTGTTTAAAAGGAAAATACGATTAGGTATTATTTTCGTGACAAGACTCCAGAAAAAAAAATTGCAGAAAAAGAAGTGTATAGTAAAGTGGACTGTGAACCTGGGGGCGGGGGGTGCTGTATAACAATGAAATAATTTTTTTTCAAAGAGGAAATTGAACTTGGGGATGGGTAGGTAGGGAGGAAAATGTACAAGAATGAATGAATGGAAAAAATGGGAAGAATACATTGTTATATATTTAAGAGATACACACACACACATATATATAATTTTTTAAGAAAAAGAACAGATGGGAGGGTGCAAGGCTTACAATGGCTCCTTTCTGCAGTTATATCAATCAAGTCCACTCTAACACAACAACTCTTTCCCCAAAAAGTCAAAAGGAAAGAGAGAACTCACACAGAGGAAGGAATTGAAGCTGACATCAAGTATGCCAACTTCTCTATGTGGAAGAGCTTCTGGGTATTGCAAATAATTAAGGATCTGGAAAGGCTGGAAATGGGGTCCATCCAGAGGAGCCTTGAAGGAAAGACCTGGTGATCAACTCAGGACAAATCAGCCTCTGCAAACCCTGTGGAGCACAGGCCTATTCTGACACACGCAGGGTCGTCATGAGTCAGAGTCGGCTCACTAGCAACTGGTAAGCGGTGCTTTCACTGTGTCAGTCCCTCTTTTAGGTAGTAACATACAGCCTGGCCTCAAGCTGCCCAGCCACTCATCGGGGGAGAGACCCACAGATGTGACAGAAAGAACAGGGTGCTGGCATGGTAAGATTGCAGAGATTTAGTCTAATCCCCTGGGAGCAGTATGGACGAAGAATTCAAGAGATGAGGGGCATTACCCTGTGACGTCTGGCCTGCCACCTCCCCTTCCTGGACAGTGTAATCTAAGTGGTCTGAGGAGAGAAAGCAAGGGAATAATTCAAGAGGAAGAATAATGCTGCGTGTTACCGTGACGTGTCAAGAATGGATACCAACATATTCACAACCTTACAAGAAGAAAAAGACAGGACTGTGTGAGCGAGTTACAGCACGTCTTACCTCCTGGGGTTTCTAATTAATTTGGTTTACTGCTTAAGTATAAATTTTTTTTAAAAAAATCTAATTTTGATGTCAGTATTTCTAAACATGTTTACACACCATGTTTTTAAGCAAAGCAAAAGCAGCCTATCTAATATACACACACTCTACATGATATAAATGGATATAAACTGCATGTACGAAATCATTTGATTTTCTCACTGGGGGCATGAGGAAAGACAGAAATCACCCTCTTCTCTCCATGGCCATTACTCAGGGTCTGTAATGTTGCCTGTGACTATTTCTTGTGCTGTACATCAAAGAATACACAGGCTCGGAGTGAGGATAGTACAGGATGCTGACCACATTAACTCTCATCTGCCTTGTTCGGAGACATTCTGACTTCTTCCCCAGCTCTTAACTGGGTTATGAATAGCTGAGATGGTCAGAATAACATCTCTGGACATGATACTACAACATTCATTATTTAAAATGTGACACAATACTATTTTGCCATTAAATAAATGCATACATCACACAAGTGGTCTCTTCCTAAAGGATCTTTTTATTAACTGTGATTTTAGGGAAAGTTGATGAAAAGGATGGCTTTTCTTTCATTCACTGATACACCCTAAGGGATAATTTAAAGTACTACCATACTACTATCAAGAAGAACTAGATTGCAGTTGTGTTATTAGGTGCCATCTGAGTTAATTCCGACTCACAGAAACCCTTAGAACAATAGATCGTGATGCTGCACTCCCTCAGAATGTCCAGCAAGCTTAAGCACATTGTTGCAGTGACCAGGTCGACCCACCCTGCCAAGGGGCTTCCTCGCCTTCTCTTATCTTCTACTTTTCAAAGCATGATGGCTTTCTCATGGACTGGCTCTCCTGACTACATGCCTGAAATGGGTGACAGGCAGTTCCACCATCCTTGCCCTCCAAGAGCACCCTGGCTGTACTCTTTCAAGACAAGACTGTGTTCAGGCAAGTGATCACGGAGGAAGAGAAAGTCCCCTTGTGATCACAGCAAGGCTCTTTTGAGTAAAGTTTTTCTGACCGTAAACTATCCCCCTCAAATAAACCATGTGGTAAACAAAACAGACGTACTATTCAAGAAACAAACAAGTTCAGAATGTTGCTGTTAGGTGCCACTGAGTTGAGTAGGACTCACCGGGACCCTATAAACAACAGATCTGAACCCTGCCCTACCCTGCGCCCCCCTCACAATCTCTTCATTGTGCCAATCGGTCTTGCTGAGGATCTTCCTCTCTTTCATTGACACCCCCCCTTTTCTCAGCAGGATGTCTTTTTCTAAAGACTTGTTCGTTCTGACCACATGCCCAAAGGATGTGAGATGAAGTTTTACTCTTTGCCTCTAAGGCGTACTCTGGCTGCATTTTACCCAGACATATCTGTTTGTTCTGTTCAGGATGAGTCAAGCCTAATTACTGATGATGTAGACTGAGTGAGATGTGCTGTGGAGAAGGGAAATGTCAGGCCGCATTATCATGAGGGGCACTGAGAACAAAAGGCGGCCAATTCATCCCTGGCAATGACGATCTCTCTCTAGGCCTTGTAACAATAGACCCACAGGAAGGAGGAGGAGCTGATCAAGAGTCTGCTCAAGTTTACGGTTTCCATTTTACACCTGATTCTTTTGAAAACAACTGTTTTCAGGTTTCTTCAGATAACCATGTCTAAAATGGCATTTGAACGGATTATTAAAACCCTCCGGATTGATACTGCCTGTACCCCATTTGGAATTAATTTTGATATGGCCTATGTGATTTTTGTAGGAGCCCCAGTGGTGTAGCAGGTTAGGAGTTGGGCTGCTAATCAAAAGGTTGGCAGTTTGAACCCACCAGCCATTCCTTCGGAGAACGATGAGGCAGTCTGCTCCCATTAGGATTTACATCTTGGGAAAATGGCTGCCACGAGCTGGGATCCACTCAGAGGCAGTGGATTTATGCTGCTGGGTAATTAATGCTCTTTTAAACCACCACTGCTTCTTCACACAGCGACTGAGAGGGAGACAAGGCCTGCTGAACCTGTGAGTTTATCAAAGGCACACCTGAAAAGCATCAGCTCTGAGAACGAAAAGGAACTGTCCTTGTGCACCCATGTTAGTTTAAAGTGTACCTCTTCAACCTACCATGCAGCACACACCGAGCACCAGGAAGAAGGATGCACTCAACTTTATCAGCAACCTCGGAAGGTGTAGGTGAAACACCAGACAGGCCAGACTGAAGTTCGATGACACTAATGGTAACAGCTGCCCTCTGCTAACTTTAACGAGTCCCTTGGGGCCAGGCACTGCAGTAGGAGCTTCCCATGCATGACCTCACTTACTTCCACATTAGCCAGAAGAGGAATGTGGCATTCTTAGCTTGACATTAGAGAAGAACTCGGGCCAGAGAGAACTCACAGGGCTTTAGTGGAATCAACCAACATATCCATCCTATCTAGAGTTCCAGTGCTTAACTGCTAATGTTAAAACCATCTCATTTTGGAAATGAGGCATTGGATGTAAAGTATACATGCAATTTTTAAAAAGAAATTACTTTTTATGCTTTTTTCCTGAATAATCAAGTTATTTTCACCATTGGGTACAAAAATATTGAAATCTTGGCATGGCCCTGTGTTGCGGAATGTTGGGGAGTAAAGGAGGATTTCTGGCCAGGACAGATAGCCTAAGCTCCTGGTAAGTACAAGCCTCCCAACGGCCTTTAATACGGGGTAGAGAAAGCTCCCCTGTATTTGTCTGTACCGCCTTGAGAAAGCTCTCCATCTGGGAAGATGGCTGCTGAGTCTGTTGAGCTGGGAGTGGTCCGCATGAGGCTGAGGTTCTCCTAGCCAATCCACATGTCCCACATCTGTGAGCCTACCCTATCCTGTCTTCCTGTTTATAAGTGCACTGCAGATCCCAATAAAATTGAGCTGGATTGACTCTGATTCTCTCTCGGAGTGGTGTATCTCTGTCGTGCTTAACCTGATCAGGTGTCGCTGTAGGCTGCCAGCAAACCGACAGTGACAGCCCTGTCAACAGGGTCCTGTATGTAAAACCACACAGGGTCACAACACTGAGACAGGCCCTTCTATTGCTTCTGGTGATAAACATCAGAGACGGAATGTCTGAGAGGCCACTGTTAGTGTGAATTTGGTTTGTTCAGTTATGTACTTAGGAACGTTCTATGAGGTGTGCTGTCTCCCATCATGTGTAGACCCTGGCAGCCTTTCTGAGCAACTGAGAAAGAAAAGTCTACATTATTAATAAAAAAGTCTAATAATGTCCTTATTTCCCATATGTGCTAACAGAGCTTCACATACCTTATAATTCTCTCCTTAAATTTTTATTACAGCTTAAAGGAGAACAAAATTTGCATGCAATTTTCACTGACTACCATTATACCTTTATTATAAAGGACTATTTCTTTATTGCTACCATTTTTACCCCAAATAAGAATTAGATGGTATAGAAGTGGAGTCAGAACCAATTGAGGTCTGAATCCTGGCTCCCTCCTCCATGTTAGTGGCTGTCCAGGACCTGTCATGTTGATTATTTTTCCTTAGGGTCAGTTTTCTTACCTGTAAAATGGGAATAATCTCTAAAAAAAAGGTTGGCTTTGAAAACTGGCAGAAACAACATAAGTGCTAAGCAGAGTGTCTGGTATGTGGCTTGATGCCAATAAAAGAGGGAGGAAATAAAAGAAGTCCTTCATGCCAGCAGAAAGACAAGAAAGACTCATGAAGAATTTATTGATTCTGGAGCTTCATCTTTTACATGATGTTTAACAAAAATGTTGAATTTTTTAAAAAAAACAACTCTAAGTCATGATCAACCTCCCTCTAGGGAAAGAAAAGGCTTGGTAGTATAATGAGCCTTAAAGTCTACCCAGAACCCATTTGAGCTCTCAGATATACAAGAAAGCAGTAGCATAAGGACAAAGCAAAATACTTACCATGGATCAAAGGCTGTTTGTCTTTTGGAGTGGTTCGTTCCAGAACTGCTCTCAGAGGGTAGGGAAGAAACTCTGGTTGACACATTATTTTCGTGAAAAGAATTATCTGGACGTGGTGATGGCACTAAACAAAGGAAAAGTAAGTCCCTGATGTACTTTTTTGATCAGAGCAGTACCCACACTATTCTACTGCATTTTCTCTAACACAAATCAAGCAAACCAATGCAAACCATCGGCTGCCTTTTGGAAAGCTTCTTATGTTTTCTCAAGGGGGAGATGCTCCAGGGAATTCTCTCTCTTCCCACTGCTTATTGTAACATTAACTTGCCAATGGTCAGTTCACACCAGGAAATATGTAGGCAAAACATAAACCTGGCCAGTCAGCTGACACATTCAAGAGTATAAATATAATATCCTGTACCACGAACCCCCTGTCACTGTGCTGACATTCTTCGAAATGGACCCAACTTTGCAAAATCTATTCTTAGTCTGAAGTGATTCTTAACAACATGTATGCTGCAATGTATGGACTATAGCTTAAGCCTTCACACTTGGGAGAAGTATCAATCTTTTATTCAGTTATTTGCACAAAGATATTATTTCTTCTCTGATATCTTAATCCAAGAATGAGCAGAAAGACAAACTACAATATGTGTAAGCAAATATGTCCCTATTTGTTTCCTGGAGGCATTCTTCTATGCCATTGTCTATGCTTGGTCTTAAATAAAAACAAACTTTATGAAAAAGGAAAATATATATGCTGTATATAAAGATAAATGAAGTCATTGGACTTGACATACGACCATAGAAATGGGACATATTTTGTGGAAACATCAATAATACTTCGGCAATACTGTCATGACTGGTCTCTAGATGTTTCCTCTAGTTAAATCTTCTATTTCTGCACTTTTGGATGAAAATGTACTAATGTCAAATCCATAAGTGGACTTATGAGGTGGGTAAATGAGTTGCTTAAATTTTAAAAAAATTACTGGCAATCAAAACAAAACTGCATTTCCAGATTACTACTTTATATTAATATTTATATATTCTAGAGATAGGGATGGCAATAATACATGTCTATCTTGGCAGTAAAATTGACAATGATAGAAGAAAAGGGGTGTGCTCATGTACACTATATTTTGTTTTAATAAACTTGAGTCAGAGCTCAAATTTTTGTTCCATAGATTCCAAATTAATTCCAGTATCAGGGGAAAAAATGTACTGAAAGAATGCCTATGCATGTCCAAAAGAAGTGGGGTTGGGAGGAAACCGAATAATCAAATTATTCTCTATACATTGACTACTGAGTAACACATCGATGCATTTCTTCAAGAGCTCTAATGGCATAATGGTTACATGCTTGGCTGCCAGCCCCAAGGTAAGTGGTTTCAGTTCTACCACTTGATTCATGAAAGAAAGACAGGCACTCTGCCTTCCTCCAAGCTTTCCAGTCTTAAAAACCCTTTTGGGGTAGTTCAGAATGAGTCAGAATCCATGCAAGGGTAATGATTTCTAGGCATTTATTTAGTTCAGCTTCCTGATGAAAATGGCCATGCTTCTCCCCAATTCTTACTCCTTGCAGCCGTCCTCCTCAAACACAAGTAATAACAGGCACTGAGTGTGATAGGCTGAAAAAAGGGTATGGTGACTCTTAAAAGCTTTAAGTAGCTGAGCCTTCTCAACCCCAGGACCTTGCTCTTGCCCTGCTTTCAATCTCCCTCCAAGAGGCTGGAACGCCCTCGGTCTTTATACTCCATTATCATAACAGCTACTGAAAGGTACTACTCTTTTCTACTAATGTCCAGAATTCTTATGACCCCACAAGCATCTGGTTTAGTTGCTTGTTAAAAATCAAAGTCCATTTGGAAAATCATGCAAGCACTGTTGACGATTTCCTTGAGGTCGTGGAGCTCTGAGGGCACAATGTGCAGTGTGCCGCGCTGCTAACCATGATTCCCTGAAGCCGTGTGACAGGTATCTGCTCAACTGTGCCAGGCAGTGTGCTAGTCCATGAGGGTGAAGGAAGGGAAGGAGGAGGAGAAATGCGGATGACTGGTCAGCGCAGCACAGACAAGGTATGGGAACCACTGATGGTAAGACAAAACCCAGGGCAGGGCCCTAAAGTAGAAGTCTTAAAAGGAAGGGACCCAAATAGCAGGGGGAGCAGTGCCCTTCAGGCTAGATGTTTTAACTTCCACAAGCTGGACCTCTGAGAGGCAAAGAGGGGGTTGGGGGGCAGCAGTTAAAGAATAAGGGGTTCAGCTTTTTCCTGATGCCAATGGGAAGCCACCAAAGGAGACAAGATAGAGGACTGGGATTGGAGAACGGAGGGTAAGGAAGCCTGCCTGCTATACTTTCTCCTTCTGTAGCACTGACTCTCTTAATAGTTTATCTCATCATTACATTTAATGTTGATCTACCCTCATGAGCTTCCCAGGCAGGGGATCTTTGGCTGTCTTGCTCACTGACATATCTTAAACTAGATGAGATAACTGGTAGTGTCTGACTTAACGGAATGAATGGGTGGTATGGCTAGAACACAGCCGCAGAAGGATCGCTCTAGTCATTACACTGATGGGCACTCTGAAGGTGGTGACCAGTGAAGATACTGCACTGAGAAGCAAGGGGGCCCAAGCTCTGAGAGTAGGACTGGAGGCAGGGAACACTCGGGAAGGTTACTGCGTAGGCCAAAAGGCTAGAGCTCTGAACTTAGCCGAAATGGGGAGGATGTGATGCAGAGCTGAAGGTTTCCTGGAGGAAGAGAAAAGGCACCTGGGGGGTGGTAGGACCGGGGCTTACCTCTGTAAAAGCTGCCAACTCTCCTTGGGACAGGATCATTGTACAGATGTCTATTTTCTTTGGGCGCTGTGCCGTCATCGGAGTGGGGATCATGATAGACTCCACCCTGAGGGGGAAACAAGTTCAGAAAAATGAAACAAGGAGTTCAAAGCAAGGCTGCCTGCAAACTGAGCACAGTGCCTAATCAGTCTATTGTTTACGCAAGTATCTATCCAAGAGAAAATGCAGAAATATGCTAGGAGGAAAAGGACTTGTTTTGCAAGCCAGTTAGGAATTATTTGTGGGAAAGGCTGGGCATGAATCACTTTCAAAAGACAAGGTTGTGATGCTACCGAACAAAACAGATTGGTTTTTACAGTGAAATGCAGCATTTCTGAAGAATGCAGACCTCAGACTTCTGGCGGGAGTGGAACGAAGATGTGCCTTCTCTAGAGGATTCTTTACCCGCAGATCTTGCCACTGTCATCTCTGGAGGGTGCTGCTCGCCAGGCTGGAAGTCAAAGCGGAAAGGATTTACGAGCGTGCCCCTGTTTCCAGGGATGGAAACTACTTAACTCACAGTAGGCTTCTTTTACTGTCATTAGAATCCTAAGAGCTAAAACAAACAAACAAACAAACAAACAAAACCTAAGTTGGCTAAATATGAGGTAACTCAGAAAGAATGAATCATTTGATGAATGCAAAATTATGTCTAACAAATTCCACAAAAGGAATGTGAAATTCTCATTATAGTTAAGGCAGGTAGGAAATAAATTAGCCTGATAATAATGCAATTAATGACTGTTTTGAAGGTATCTCTCAATATTTCAATAGTCTAGCATGTATGAGTCTGAGCAGCACTCCAGAATTACTTTCTTTTATGAAAAAAAGACTTGTGGTAAATTCAGAGGAAAAGGAAATGTTCTTTGACTCTATCAAGGAACAGAACAAGTACTCCCAATAAATTTTGTCTCAAGATTCCCTAACTACTGTAGCTTACGAATCTAAATTCTCCTCATCTTCTCTAGGACAATGCCACGTATGCTTAATGCTTCCTCAGCCATATGCATGACACTTTCATCTCCAGAGAAGTAAAGATCTCTATTAGGGAAGTGACTCACGGGCTCAGAGCAGCTTTCAGCCCATAGTGGTGTTTGCTGAGGGGGAGGTAGAATTCTTTCCCCTCAGAGGATAAGAATAAGGAACAAAAATCAACAAATCATTAGGAGAAGCTGCTTCCCTTGCATATCGGTATGCTGCACATAGGACGAGAATTATCTTTTATGTGACATATCAAAAACCTTTTCCTTAAAATTTTAAAATGTGATTCTTTTCACTCTAAATTGTACTATGAGAAGATTCTGGGAAATCCACATTTGCAGTCATTTCATGTAGCCTTTCTTCTTGTTACTTTGTGAAAAGATTTCATTGGAAATTGATCATGTGTATTATTTATAAAGGCCTCTAAAAACTAATACTACTTTGAAAAGAAATGTACTTTGGGAAAGAAAGTATTTCCATCTAATTTAAACTCTGAAGAGGCTGGGTTAGTCCTGTTCCCTTGCTTTTAAAGGTGGCAGCAACACTCACAGGAGACCGAGTCCATGATTTAGTCTTAATGCTTTCAAACCTCTTACCATCTTTGCTGCATTAAAGTTGTACTGTCTCGCATCTTGGCCCCCTACCTCTTACTCTGTACTTAAAATTCAATAAGAGTCTCGTCCGGTCTTTGTTGCAGTTGTGTGCCAATGAGTGGGGACTGACTCAAAACAACTGATAGATTTGAACCCTGTGCCTTTGGGATTGCAACACAACCTCTTGCCACCAGACATCTGTGCTTTGTTCAGCTTTGTAACCACCATGTTCACAAAACTCTTTTTCTGGATTTCTCAGAAAGACAATCACTTGTCATTTTCCTGGCAGGTAGCTTTCTAATTTGCTTACTCTTGTCTTACACTAGGCTTAAAGCCGGGCCCTTTACTTGGTGCAGACAGTGTCTGTGGACAGTGTCTGCGGGTGGATCTCCAGGGACCCTGGAGGTTCTCTCTACCCTCTGCGGAGCCTTCCCAGCACTCCCACTGCACACTTTGCAAACATGCACCTCTACCCTTCCCTTTTACCTGGGCTCAAATACCTCCTTTCCACTCTCTCTGATCACATCTCTACGCAGAGGGCCAGGGACACTTCCAACTCAACACACCAGCATGATACATGATACAGTAAAATGAATGGTGGCCCAAATTCCTGACAGGTGTCACTCACCCAGCGTGGACCGCTGACACTCCCAGCTCATGCTGGGCTCATCACCACAGCTGCTCCCAATGGCGCCTTGCTCACCCCAGCAGCTGCCTCCTTCTCCTTGCAATGCTTTCTTCCTTGTCCCAGGCCTCTTTCTTCATGTCCTCTCCACTGTTCTCTTCCCCTCCTTAAATCCCAAGCATCCTAGAGACCTCTGTTCAGATGCCACTCCCTCTGGGAGCCTCTCACAGTCCTGCCTGGACTGTGATCCCCACTCTTTGTTCAGACAGCACAGCAGGAACACTGCTACAATACAGGAAGTCTAACTACCTCTCTGTTAAGTGGCCGCAAACAGCTTACTCACTCCAAAAGCACACCGTGTCTTTCACTTTTCTAATGATAGCCTATCACAGTGCTGCACTAAATCCCTAGCACCGGTACTAAATCCTCGAACAATGGCTCCCCCACCACTTACCCAGCCATCTTCCTCTAAGCTGTACTGGCTTAGCAGAAAGGAGTTGTGTTATCAACACAAAGGCACGTGGTTCGAATCCTCCAGCTGCTCCCCAGGAGAAAGATGGGCAATCTCTTCCAGTGTGCTTAGCTGCCTCTGCAAACCCACTGGAGGGTTAGCTGTGGCAACAACATCCTCTTTTCCCATCCACCTCTGCATCTCAGCCCAAAGGAAGAGCGTGCAGAGGCCCTGTTTCTGCTCATAGTGATTTCTCCGTTTTCAACTTCTAGTCATAGTCAGTCGCCATACGAACGCAGCTCTTAGCAATTCTTTAATTGTCCTATGCATCATCTAATCCTCCCTCCCCGGGAAAAAGGTGAGTTTCCAAAGGGTGAGAACCCTCCATCTTAGACACTGGAATGCCTAAGAACACTCAGCAGAGAAGGGCCTCAGTGGCTCCACGAAACCCTCAGCCTAACAGCAGCAGCAACAAAGGCAGCCCCTCCTCCCAGTACTTCGGAGGCACCAGGCACCGGATGCGATGTTTGCCTGTCAGCCTCACAACCTCCCCTCAGATGAGGAATCTGAGCACAGAGATTATGGAACTTGCCCAAGTTTCCAGCATCTGAAACAAACTACAGAACGAGGATTCAAAGCCCGGCGTTAGTGTCCAAGTTCTGAGCTACTCTGCAGCTCCCCGGGTTGCTCATTTATTGAGAACCCCCCACCCTCACTCTCATTTTGCTAAGCCCTCCATGACTTAGTCCATCTCTGGTATTTTGCCAACACGAAAAAAAATTGACTTCTGCATCCTCTAAAAGCAAAACGCACTCTTTAGGTAAAATTTTTTTCTGCTCCCAACTTTGCCTGTTTTCTACCTTATTTTTGTTGATGCAGGTGGATGTGGCTTATTATGAAAACCCCATTTACAGACATGCACTCTATTGCAAATATGCTACTTCTTATAAACAGGTGTAAATTCTGGAGTCTATAGGGCAATAAGGTGGAGGAAGCATTAGGCTAAAAAGATTGCCTGGGGATGTAAAAACAATCCAAAAGACTGACAAGTGACATTCACCCTGGTGTAAGTGAAATTTAGCTACAATTCTGGGTAAATGAAAGGCTTTTAAAATTCAATTAAGGTATCAGAAAGATAACAGCAAAGAGGTTTCATTTCCACAAATGTGGTTCAGAGAGATTAAACACACATGAATTTACGAAGGATTTTGAGAGACTGAAAAAAAGGGACACCCCCCCCCACCCCCGGGTCTGATGAACTCTACTATAAATCAAATGACAATTCTCCCAACAAAATATGCCAGAAAGTAACACTTGAGAAAGAAAACAGATTTCTACAAACTAACTTTTGGGTATTCAATAATTGAGTTAAAGGAAGAAATGATGTTTTGTTTTTAAACAGTTCTAACACAGCCTATCAAGGAATCCAGTCCTCCTGCAATACGGGGAATTGAAAACTGACCCTATTCACATCCTCTGCACCCCCTTCCCATGAAGCCAATGAGCTGGTCAAGGTCCTAAGCTGTACCTGTGGTGACAAGAGTTGCAGGCTGTTGGCTCTGGCAGCCATCCCTTGCCCTATGCTCATGCTGCCGTCCAGGCCTTTGGCTCTCACTTTGTCTCGAGTCACATACATTGAGTGCCTGTGAGGACGCTGCTGGGAGGAGAAGGGGCTGGTGTAGCCCAGCCCATAGGAGAAGGATTCGTGAGGGGCAGACAGGGAGTGGGAATGGGTGCTGTCCATGTGCTCAGGCAACTTCAACTCCTCCATCGTTTTGGAATGCCTGGTTGTGGTTCGGCGCGAGTCAAGGGTGCCCTCACTTCGGTTATTTCTCCCCGAAGGGCTGAGCAAAGTTCTTGTGTCACCGTGCCTGGCAGGGGTTGGGCTGGTGGGAGAGTTCAAGTCCAAGCAGCTGGATGGGAAGTATCTACTGGTGTTGGACTCTGTGATTTGGCCTCTGGCTTCCGAAAGATTGCTCACAGACTTGGAGTCACTCAGCGCCCCGTGGCTCTTGGCCTTGGTCCTGTAGGAAGGACTTCTAGAGGACTGGGGGATAGTGTCGATGTAGCTGTGGCGACTCTGCTTCTCACTGGGCTGCAGGGTGCCGGCCTTGCTCTGTGAGCTCTCCATAAATGAATGCCGGTTCTGCTGAGATCTGCTGCTGGACTTGAGGTACTTCGTGCCTGGGCCTTCGGAAGGCTTTGGGTCAATATTGAAATCGAACTCAGTTTTGGACTTGGCTTCTTTGGGGCTAAGAAGGTGCGGTATGTTATTGTTGGTGAGATCTTTGCTGGCAGCCCCAGGCTGGCTGCTTGCTTGGTAGGTTTTGGTGTGCATTGGACTGAGTGTGGCTCCGGCGAGGTTTCCATTGAGGAAGCTTTCATTGGCGGGAAGCCCTTCGTCGGCCCGGGATATACCCACGCTGAGGTTCTGGATGTCCTTACTGTTTGACCTGTGGTGAGACTGCAGAGCCGAACTTTTGCTGGCTTGGCTTCTACGTTAAAAACAAAAGAAGTCTGTGAGTTCGCTTCAACAGCAAGCACACACCAAGTATCACATTTCAGAAAGATTAGCCTCCAAGTACATGCCTACCAGGACCAAAGAGCCTACCAAGAAAAAGTGAGTACATCAGAGCAGGACACTCTGCACACACTGGCCTGCAGAAGTCACTGTGGCATCATTAAATGCTCAGCGAACCTGCTGCCGTCAGAGGTTCTAAGTGATATTTTGCTCTTGCCACACTACTATTCCATTGTGCATCTGGTACTGAATGTTTGCTAGGAACAGGAGAGCTGAGCTGTAGATGGACTCTTTGCAACTCTTGTTTGTTTGAATGTCAGAAAGCAACATTTACACTTAAAGGTTAAAATGTCTTTGGACTTTTTTAATCGATAAAACACATAGCATGCTTTAGACACACATGCACGCAGCATGTACACAGTCACCAACTTTTCTTTTGTTTTTAGCCTGTGGAGTCAAAGAATGAGAATTCTAGCAGTGAAGTCAATAAAAGAAAATGACACACACACACACACACACACACACAATGTGCAAACTGTGAGCTTTAGGCAAACATGATCAGTGTTTGCTTTAGAGAAGTGGGAATAACATTAGTCTCTGAAAAGAACTCCTTGCATACTAAACACGAGTCCATCTCTAACTGTTCAGATGGCTCCAGGTAGACTAGCCAGAATTCCACCCTAAATGGAACACAGGAATCTGAATGAGTCCATTTGTCTTCAAAAAACACAATTTCATTATTTTATATTTTACACTTAAGTGCTTAAAACTTACTGAGGCCTTCTTTAGAACTTAAAACTTCATTTCTTAGTTGAAAACACACACACACACACACACATATGGATATACATATATGTGGGAGCTCTGGTAGCTTAGTGTTACGGAGTTGCACTGCCAACTCAAAGGCATGTGGTTCAAACCCACCAGCTACTCTGTGGGAGAAAGATGGGCAATCTCCTCCCAAGTTATTAGTTGCCTCTGAAAACCAAAACCTGCTGAAGGGTCAGCTGTAGGTTGGTTCCAACTCAACAATATATAAAACCATACACACACACACATATACATACACAGTTTAAATTATAAATACAAAAGGGATCTCCAGTAGTGTAGTCTGTAGCGAGTTGTGCTGTATGTCTTGGGCAGTTCGAAACCACCAGAAGCTTTGTGGGAGAAAGATGGGCAGTCTTCTCCCTCTAATGACTCACAGCCCTGGAAACGCACTGGAGGGTCATCATGGATGAGAAGCAACTCTGTGGCAGTGGATGATTCTCTACACATCCAGAAGAAAGCCTTGGCCACTATTTGAAAGCTGAGTCTGACAAACCAGCATCACTGCAAGGTCAGGCCGTTCCCTTTTAACTTTTTAAAAGACCGGATTTCATTTTAGTGTGAGGTAGGTTAAGGTGTTTTCAAATGAATAATAATGCACATAATATACTTCTTACAATGTATTTAGAAAATTTTGCTGGAAATAGTACTATTGTTGAAGATGGGTTGATTTGGAAATTTTCTTTCCATCACAGATTAATTGTAGACAAAAGTAATGTATGAAAATGTGTGTGTGCATATACACGCATACATGCGCACACACACACACACACTGCTTGGTGCAATTGCCAACCTTATCCTTTGATCTCACTTACATGGAATCTTCAACTCTTGAGGCTCAAAACCCCCTTAGTTGCTAACCTAGTGCTACCTTTCCCTAGGAATGTACAAGTTTCTATAATACACTTGTTAAAGATAAGAAAGCCTTTAAGACCCACACAGCTCTTTAACTGTGGGTTCTGAATCATATAATAAGCATAAGGAAGATATTTTTGAATAAGGAGGGCTTTCCTTTCCTTTAATTGCATCATTTGAGCAGCCACCTCCTCCACCTACTTGTACGACCGGCACTGCATCTGCATCTCCTTAAAAGGGAATATTTACCTATTAGACAGTGTGCTGCTTTCCACATGGTAAGGTTTTCTTTTTGTCGACCTTGAAGGGGAACGATCCAAAAGTCTCTGGGTTTGAAATGTAGGGTGGTTCAAACACTGGTCTGTCAAGTATCTGTCAGCTGGGTCTAACTTCAGCAAATTCTTTAAAAAAAAATAAAATTGAAGATTGGTAAGAATACCACAAACTCAAATTTAAATTCTAGTAAAAATTTTACTTATTTTTCTTATCAAACAAATAGCTGGTTATAGCAGAATATCTATGAAACAAAGTTCACGAAAACAGCAAGAAAGAAAAGTAGAACAAAAAAGAAGAGCTATCAAAGTCACCCATAAACCCAGTCCTTTTCTGAGCATCATATAGACCTATTTTCTTCTTTTCAAAAAATGGAATCCTACTGTACACGTAAGTTTTATATCTGGCACTTTTTATTTAATAAGAAATAACACTTTTACAACATGTAAGTAATACATTAACACAACAGAACATGTACTCATATAACTTCTCCAGTCCCCACAGTACCAAGTTTCCCTCCCTGGTAATAACCAGTGTTGGCAGTTTCTGTGCATCTTCCCAAAGACAGACTGTGCACAGATCTGTATATGTTCCTTTTATTTTACTCAAAAAGCACTGATGTACATGCAACAATCTGTACTAGTCTTTGTATATTATTTTGGGTTTTTTTCTTAAGATATCATTACATAGCAGTAAAAAGGTTCAACCCTACGGGTGTAACTTCATTGTCGTCATTGTTGTTAGGAGCCATCAGTCAAGTATGACTCATAGCAACCCTCTGAACAGACTGAAACCCTGTTCTGCCCTGTGCCATCCTCACACTTCCTGGCACACAAGAGACCATTGCGGCTGTCACCGTGTCAATCCACCAGGTTGAGGGTTCTCCTCTCTTTTGCCAACCGTCCACCCTCCCCAGCATCATATCTCTCTCCAAGGAATAAACCCTCCTAGCAACATGCCCGCAGTATGTGAGGCGAAGCCTCATGATATTTGCCTCCAAAAAGCGCTCCATATCCTCATTAGTTTTTACAAATTCCCTAGTGATAAACAGTGCATCTTTAGGAACAATGTACTTAATAATCCAGAGTGCTTTCTAACGACTAGAGTACGAACAATGTGGAGCTCCAGAGTTGCTGTCCTTGAAGAATTTGGCTGCTAACCAAAATGTCAGCAGCTAGAACCCACCAGCTGCTTTGAGGGAGAAGAGGAGACACTGGCTTCCCTACAGAGTTCCTGCCCTGGGGGGTGCTGCGAGCTGGAACTGATCCAATGGCAGTAAGCTTTGATTTGGGATACAGAATATTATAGAACTGATGTACCATGATTTAGTAAACCAGTCTTCCATGCTGAACATTGAGATGGTTGCTGCTTTTCATAACTACAATTAATGTGATGAACACCCAAAAACTTGGGGGTACAAACTCCCAGCAATGGAATTGGTTGGTAAGGAAAAATTAAAAGACCTTTTCTTTGTGTTGCTAGGTTACCCTCTAGAAAGGTCTCAAATTATACTTGGAGCAGCAATTGTATGTCCTGACACCTTCATCAACAACAGGAATTCATATTCTTTTGTGCCTATAAATTATGTATTTGTAAAATGGTACCTCTTCCAACTATATGACATATGTAAAAGGCAAAGGTAGAGATAGGGCAAAGATCAATAGTTGCCAGAGATGTGCTGGGGAGGAAGAGTGAAAACAGATTTGATAATTTTTACATGTTTTCTCATTGCCTGTAGCATGTTTTCTTATTTTCCTGCTTACGTATCTATTCTTATATAAATGTTCTTGACTAATCTGTCTTATATAGCATATATTAGATTCTCTGATTTCTTTGACTATTATTTATTACTTAGTTCATTAGTAATTGGATGAGATTATAAAAAGTGGAATCATTATTAATGCTAATTTTTAGTTGTTGTTGTTGTTGTTCTGTACCACTGAGTCAGAACAAACCTGAAGCTGACCCTCTGGCAGGTTTTCAGAGGCAGTTAATCACATGGGAGGAGACTGTCCATCCTTTTCCCACAGAGCAGCTGGTGCCCTTGAACTGTGTGTCTTTGGGATTATAGTGCAGCTTCTTCCACTAGGTCACCAGAGCTCCTTTAAATTTTTATTTAAGCAAATAAAAAAGGGAATATAACCTCACAATATTGAGTAGAGTACAGTGAAATTCATTTTCTGAGCTACCAGCAATCTTTCCCAGAGGAAGGACGAAGATGAAATGCAGGCATTCCCAAATCCATCTCAAGCTTACTTTCATTGCTTCTGCCCACAGTTACTTTCTTTGTGGTCCAGACTGAACAGTGACAACAAGCCTATATTCACTCCCAACAAACCAGACTTAACTCTAACCTAGCACCACAGAAAATCTGAAATGTGATCTTACTAGCAACTAAAATATTCACTTTGGGTTGAAAGATTCTGACTGTAGAAGCCCAGGCCACCATTTAATACGCAAGTGAGCTGACATTCATGTTGATTCAGGCACACAACTGAAATAATTTCAGTCCTTTCTTCTTCCTTATTAGAGAACAAAAACTATGTAGAAGTGTAAAATTATTTTGGTGTCAATGGTAGTAAAACAGTTAACAGCAAAGTGGTTTCTTCAACTGTAAGATACTTTTTTTAAAGCAAAGTCTGTCCTTGAATAATCTTTTAAATAGTCTTTTAATTAGAAGTCAAATGCACATTAGCATAGTCGTATACTATATAACATTATAAAAAGAGAAATTATTGCATATATGAACAAAGAACTATATTTCTACTTATTAATAAATATGTTAATTTTCAAATTACCTGAAAAAATGAGGTCATTATGTGGACAGTATAAAACCCAGAAATAGTGTCTACAATTCAGTATGACAGGGAAAACCAATGATTATTATTTTTTTCACTATAACAGACCAATATAATGACTACAGCTAATTTTAAAATCACAAGTGATTTCATTAATTCTGGTGACTTGTAACCCCACTAAAATGGCTGATAAAAAAATAGAAGCTGGATGAGACAGCCACTTTAGGTACTTAATATGAACCAAATCATCAAGACAACTTTGGAGAGTGGGAAGCAGAGTATATTTCTTTGTACCATGAAATGATACTTGGTGTTATTCATGTTAAACATTCTTTTTCAAAAATAAGTAAAAGATAAAACAGATTATTTTATCTCCATATCATTCAATAACAAAGCAGTATTCAGCTACTGAGTCAGAAGTCAGAACAGTGGCTTCTGTACAAGGAGAGGGGCAGGTGTGCAATGTTTTCCTATATCTTGATCTAGGTGGGATTACACAGACAAGTTTATATCATAAAATCTGAGATGAACACTTATAATCTATGCTCCTTCTAAATATACATTTCAGTTTAAATGCTCATTTAATGTTTATAAAACCCAAGAGTGAATATATTAAATGAATAGGAGACTTAATGGCATAATAGTGAAATGCTAAGCTGCAAGCCAAAAGGTTGGTGGATCGAACTAACCCACTTTCTCTATTGGAGAAAGTTATGATAGTCTGTTTCCACGAAGGTTTATAGTCTCAAATCCTATGGGGCAATTCGACTCTGTCCCAAAGGGTTTGGTTGCTATGAGTCAGAATGGGCTTGCTGACAATGAATTTTTATATTAGGAAAAGAAAGGTTAATTTCCAAATTACTTTTCTCAGGCACTATAATGGTAACTGACAAAGTGCCATACTGAGGTCTGAGAATTGAATATAAAAATGCTAAATTATTGGAAATGAAAAGCAAAGGCAGAAAACATGATATTATATTGCACTGAATCTTCCTACTTTATTCTGTTTTCATTTTTAAAAGTTACCAAATAATGAAATGCTTGTGCAACAAATACCAATTACATGAAAAAGTGTATTGACAAACCCCAACTTACTTAAGTGAAAATTTATGCCTAATTAACCAAAAGAGCTTTGAAGGGTTCTTTTCTTAAACAGCATTCCTCAATCTGTGTTCAAAGGAGTACTAAGGTTTTAGATTATGCATATATACAAAAGCATTTGGTATTTAATGAGATTTGTGAAATGCTGGGTGAGACATAAATGTTTTACTGTGGGACTTCTGGAGGCCTTTATAAGTTATTGAACATTGTGAATCTGTACGAAAGGTTATACTGTATGTGGTCTTTCCCCAGGGCCATACTGCCTTCCCACCTCCTCCTCCACATCAGCTTAAAGTGTTCCTTGGAACACAGATTAACATACTTTGTACCAAAGTAAAGTCCTCAATGGATCAGCACTTTCCAACTGTGCTAAGTACACACTGAAAAGCTCTGTGGGCAGTGCGAGGACCACTTATTTGGGCCTTTTACTGAATGGCTACAAAATAAAATTGACCCATTACAGGTGTTTTTCCAAGCCTACTACCGAACAACTAACAATTGCTATGCACTGGCTGACTGCAAAGAAAGCAGAAGAATAAAAGAGTTCTGTGTCCCGGGAAGAAAAACTTTAGAGAGGGAAGAGAGAGAGAGAGAGAAAGCAAGAGAATCTTCTCACTAATCCATTGCAGGAAGATGTTCCAGGCGTCGCAGCCTGAGAGAGAGCACCTGGGCTGTGGTAGGCAGCAGTGACTGATGTGTCAGAAAGAGAGCCAGAAAAAGCAAATCCATTTGGGTGAGAAGCCAAATTAGAAAAGAATCAGGTCAATGGGTAAAATCTGTGTGGATTACCCTGACACTGTGGAATTTATCCCAGCGCACAGCAACCCTCCAATGGTTCTGTGAGATGAGAAGCCTGATACAAGCCCTGCCTCTCTTTCTCCCAAGGAGCAGCTGGAGAGTTCTTACTGTCAAGGGCTCCTTGTACAGATGATGGAAGATCTGAAATATCACCTTTTTTTTTTAGGATTGTTCTTGAGGGCTAACAGATTTTTTACTGTTTGGTCCATTTTAGGAATATAATTTAGGTATCTTGTGATTCTGTCTAGATGGAATGGTATCATGCCAGATGTTTTAATTTTAAATAAACCACATGCTGTCCCCCATATCCACCATCATATATATCTATGAACAAAACATTTCATTCCCAAAGCAGATGCACACAAAAAGACACACACAAAAGACAGTTTACACAAAGACACATCCATCAATTTGTCCCACCTTCATTAAGTCGAGTAAAACACTATTTAGGATTCCAAGGTATCTTCTCTCCAAAGACTGAGGATGGTTAACAGCTGGGAACTGCAAGAAAAACAAGACAGAAATGTTAGCCTATGGGGAAAGAGAGAGAGAGAGAGAGAGAGTGTGTGTGTGTGTGTGTGTGAGACACACCATCTTAGAGAACTGAAGAAGGCCATGGATGGACAGGAGTTACTGTCTTTGCATCAATTAAAATCACCTTTATATGTAATTTCTATGCACCTCAGGCACAGATTAATAGTGTAAGTTGGGTATGGAATCACTAGCAGGAAAATTCACAGGTGAAAGATAAGACCAAACTAGGCAGACAATTCTAAAGCATGTAACACAAATGAAAACACAAAACTCTGAAGCAGAATACTGAAAAATCTGAAAAAAAAAATCTGAAGTCTGGTTTTGTAGACAAGTCAATTCTGAATTACTGACAGTGAGTTGGAGGACATGATAGTACATCAGATTAAATTCTTATGCCTTTTTCACAAAAACATATTTTGTCTTGGAAACAGATGTAAAAAAAAAAAAAGAAGATGACAGCAGTGATAAGTCAGCACCAGAAAGACCGTGGAAGTGGGGAAGGTGATTTCCAGCCCACATTCTATTATTTTAATATATCCTTTCAATAGTCTCTTTTCAATGCTTTCCTTTGTGTAAGCTGAAACAGAAGGCGAGCAGAGGCTCTTAGATTAACAAATGCATCTCTAAAGTAAATGCGGGGAAGGTTCAACTTTATTTAGATGCTCCATCTTCCCTCTGCTAACTCTCATATTTTGCAGTATCTGAATGGATGCTACAGCATTTGGTAAGATGACTGGTAGAGCTCAATGCCATGTATGCTCTCAAAGGTGAGGGCTAGTTGGCTGTGAATATCTTTTTCCTCTGTGCCAACATGGAGGCATTTTAAAGCCTTGAAATCTCTCAGCCTACTAAATAAGAAGGGGACACCAGTTTGTACTTGAGCTCAAACAAAAGGTTTTAAAGGAATGATTATGACATCATCTGCACACTGTGCCAGCTATGACAGGAGAGACAGAACATTGCTGAGATCTAAACCTTGCATGTAAGGAATCACAGCTAGACTGTGAAAGCAGTCAGGGTTTAGCTGCAAATTCTAATTGACGCTTAGTTGGTCTGCAGCTGGATGGGCCAGGACCCTTAGGTAATAGCTGCAGGGAGTTTTTGAAAGATGAGAAAAGTGTGAAGCCAGGAAGAAGTAGGACAGCATCTTTCAGATGGAGGAAGGGGAAGGAATAGCATGAACTTAATACAGACACATAGGCAAGAACTTCAAACTGATTTCTGAACGGAGTGATGCTGCACGAGTCACTTCAGGTATTATCATTATTCCTATTTTAGAGATGAGGAAGGTGAGGATCAGAAAGTTGAAATGACTTGTTCAAGGTAGGTTACATAATTATAAAGCAGTGGAACTGGTATTTGCCACCAGGTCTGTGATCCAAGCCCACACTCTTTCTAAACCGAGGTGTCTCTCCCAAGGGAAGAACAAAGGTTCCTTTTGATGTTGGTGCATTAAATATCAGCCCCAAGAGAGAGCCACTTGCCATGCTTTGGTGAGGCTCCATGCTGGTACACAGTAATTCATATTTTGCTTATGAAGGCTATCTCGTGCTACCAGATCTCCCCTCCCCTCCATTTTTTTTTTTTTTTTGGTAAGTGACATTTCACTGATAAGAAAATGAACTGCTGGAAGCAAAAAGACATTAGAAAACACATTTTTAAAACATCAAGAAAATTCTTAATTCAAAATTATTAAAAAGTATGTGCTTTGGAATGAAATCTACCACTCGGAGTTCTTTCAACTAATATCCCAAAACTCAAGCATAGAAATTTAAAGTATAGCCGAGCATTCATTAGATGCCAGGCAGTAATCTGGGCATTCCACACATATTCTAGCGGTTAGTTTTCACATCCTCATAGGCGGCACTCTATCTCCACATTTTACACAGGAAGAACCAGAGGCCCAGGACAGTGACATGGCTCAGCCACAGGCTTTCAAGCAGTAAACATGGTGCTCAGACTTGAGCCCAAGGAGTCCTACTCCAGCTGTCAGGGGGCTGTCATGAGTTGGAATGGACTCAAAGACAACTGGTTAGTTTTAGAGGTTTTTGTTCCGTTTTGGGCAGGGAGGCTGCCTTCCTCCAGAGCCTCAGCCCTCTACCTGTGGACCCATTACTGTGAGTGAAGTGCATTTCCAAAGCAAGGAGGGCCAGCTTGCACATGCTGGGTGCTTGGCTACCTATGGCGGACATTTTCAAGGAGAACGATGACGGCAAACTTTTACCTCAAAAGATGTCATGCAACCTCTAAAGAAATGAAACTAATCTGATTAATAGACTACAAATACTTTCAGACTAAAATGCAAAAATATTCAAGTTATTAGAAGTAAAAATGTCACAGGAGCCGTTTCCCTGCAGGCTATTTCTAGCCAGCTTTGTCATATGCTGTCAAGCATTTCATAGACAATGTTTAGTGAGGAGGTCTGTGCACAAACAGGTTCACAGACAAAGAAGGAAATGACATCCTTCCTGTACCTCACCAGCTGCTCCTCAAGATCCATTTCAAACTTCAACTCCTCCAGAATGCCTCCTCTAATGAATGCAGCCATCTATGACTTCTGCCTTTCCAGAATGTCTGACAGTCTCGTGGCTGAAACCATGTCGAGACATATTAGAAAACACAATGTAGGAAGAAAGATAATCCTTTAATGTATATACTTTATTATAAGTTGTATTTTTCTAATTATTTCATACAGGAAAGTTCTAATTCTTCAGCTAGTCTGTGGGTTACTGATGGACAGGGATCATATTAGATACCTGTGTATCCTCTCTTTAGAGACTCCAGCACAGAGCCTTTTTAGTGGCAGTTTCAGGCAAAGAGCAAGTTAGCCAGGAGGCTAAGTTTAATGTCACAGCAATTCATGTTCTGAGATCAAATGTTCAAACAGTCTTCATTTATTGCGTAGTAGGCACTATTCTAGATTGCTAAAAATACAATGATGAACACAATACAAAGAAAAGGCGATTGTACCACAGGAATCCTGCCTGGAGAAGGCTAGAAAGGCTTTATGGAGGGAAGACATTTGACCTGAGTCTTGGGGGAGGAGTAGGAAGAGACAATTTCCAGGACAGGAGTTGAGGGTTAAGAGCATTCTAGAAATGGAAATACAGAAATGAGAACCAATTAAGAGGAAGGGGCAGGAAATAAGGGAACAGGAAAGGGTATGAAGCAAGGCTGGAGACCTAAGAATAAGACATTTTTAATGGTAACCTAAAGGGAGCTCTGACAGTTTAGTGGTAAGGAATAGTGCTGCCAGCCTAAAGGCTTGTGGTTCAAATCCACAAGCTGATCTGCAGTGAAAAGTTTGGCAGTCTCATTTGACTTCTTGCCTCCAAAAAACCCAATAGAAGGGCAGTCATAAGTTGGTTCTGACTGGATGGTACACAACAACAATGCTACCCTAAGGAGTTGAAATTTCACTGGAAATTCTGCCAATGTTTTTTAACAAAGAGAGAGATAAAATTTAATGTTCTATTTGGAAGGAAGACCATAAGGACAAATATGAACAGACTGAAGTGAAGAGAAAATGACAGGTCAGTTCAGCAGTTGTCAATAATTTGTGTAAATGGTGATAAAGGTAAAAGATGCATTAGAGATGGCGAGCTGGGAAGTGTCTTTGATATTTATTGCTTGCCTACTTTAGGGAGCTCTGGTGGCCTAGTGGCAGGAAGCTGTGCTGCAATCCCATAGGCACATAGTTTGAGTCCACCAGCTGCTCCATGGGAGAAAGATAGGCAATCTCCTCTTGCACAATTAACTGCCTCTGAAAACCCACTAGAGGGTCAGCTATGGGTCTGTTCTGATCTGATGGTACACAAAAACAACAACAACTACATGTGCTCGGTTCTGTGTCAGATGTGAGGAATGCAATAATTCAAATAGCTAAGTTCTGTCCTTAGGGAGTTTACCGTCTAGTAAGGGAGAAATTGATAACGAGTAAATAATAATATAATCAGATACTGTGATAAGTCTTATGCTTGACAAAAGAAGGGTGCATGGGAAAGAGAGACTACGAGGGTGGTGGGGGTAGTATGGGGGTAGTCAGGGAGGAAGTCCTTTAAGAAAGGCCCCACTGACTTAAGAGACGTACAGAATGGGAAGGGTTTGGGCCTGGGAAGCACCTTCTTGGGAAGTTTTCAAATGCCTAAAGCTGGAAAAATCTTGAAAAATGGTGATGGTGGTGTGGTCAGTAAAAGAAAGGCAAGTATGGTAAGAATTTGGAAGCAGAGGGGAAAGAAGCTAGGATTCATTGATTAGGTTCGGGAGCTAGGCGGGCCCAGATCGGACAAGGTCTCATACGCTATGTATGGTAAGGAGTATAGACTTCTTCTAAGTGAAACAGAAATTCATTGCTTATGTCTAACTTAATTTCTTAATAGATTTTTCCTATCTGCTGAACTATTGATTGTCATATTTTCACTGTCTAGTATGATAAGTGTTCAATAACTCTATGGCACTACAGACGGGAGTTATTTACATCCTAAGTAGTGGTCATAATTTCTCTTCTTTTTGGATTACAAAAGCAAAAATATTAGAAGAAATGACACTCGCCTGAGGTAATTCAGACACAGCTGGAAAGCGGGGAAAGAACAGGAACGAAATGAAGCAGAAGTTATAGGGTTTTCTCCCTTCATTTCTTCAGTAGTGCTCAAGGTCAGCACAAGCAGGTGCTATGCTGGGGTATGTGAGGAGAATAGTACTCCTTAAAGTGACTGAACTGACCAACAGAAAGGCAAAGATTAAAATAAGGGTTCTGCAAATCCAGAAAACTTAGTTTGAGAATAATGCATTTCAGAAAAAGTAAAGAAGTCGTGGTGAGATTCTAGTTCTTGCAGGGAACACCAGTTTCAACCACCAAACAGGGTAGATGAAAATGAAAATGCAACTCTTGGAGTAGATAAAAGGGGAAAACAGCTCTGTACGTGACTAACCTAAGCAGCTGCTCCAATCAAGTCCCTCTGCAAGTTATGTCCCTTTCTTGGGGAAAGTTTATACTTTTCTTCTTAGCATATGCTCAGAAAACAAGTTCTGTGTATGTTAGCAAGTCTAACGTGCCGAAGACAATCTATGAGTCTGAAAAGAGGATCTGATGTTTCTCTACAAACAGACAAGAGATTCCAGCTCAAACAAGAACCTTTAATTGTACAGAACGCAAGCACTGCTCAAGTCACTATTGATAGGTTTTCTCAAATAGCCAGTAATAATGCATACTTTTTGCATCTTTTGGAGTTGTTCAAGACCGAGTTAAAAAAAAAATTCCAAGATAACTTAAGTCTAAAATATAATAATGTTTTCTGCTAAAAAAGAAATTTTATTTAATTGGAATTAAAATGAGAAAAAAATAACATTACCAGCACCTACTTACAAATTCTTGTCATCCCCCCCTTTTCTTAAATGCCATGAACGATTTAAAAAAATAAAATCTTAAAACAAGGATTCTAACCACTGTATTGGGAAAGGGATAGTATTCAATGAACAGCTTAGTATCTCTTGTCCAATGAACAATGATTTTAAATATTGCTGCACTGATTCCCTTTTGGGTTTTAGCAAAACCTCTTACCCGGAGTCCATGGAAACGAGGATTACTGTAGAAGAGTTTCATCTGCTCAGATGGAAGTGGTCCTAGCACCTTCTGAATGGTAAAAAGTTGGTCAATTTCACTTTCTCCAGGAAATAAAGGCTGTCCATCACTAAGTTCCCCAAGAATACAGCCCACTGACCACATATCTACAGATTTTCCGTAGGGAGCCCTGAAAAGCAAAGGGAAAGATTATCTTTGCAAGTGAAGAAATGCAATGTTAAAAAAAAACAAAACAAAACCATTATTTCAATAATTCCCAAGAGATTAGTGATTTAAAGTACATTTATGTATTCAAGGATTTAAAATATTATGTAGGAAAAAAGTAAGGCTGAAAAAGGGGAATTACAGATAGCCAAGTAAAAATTCAGAGCAGAAGTGAAACAAACCCAAGCAAATAAAACCATCAATTTACTAGCAATGTAGTTAGTACACACTGATTTGCAGTCTATTCACATCTGGGTACATTTTGAACATGAATGGCATAATAAACCCTACCACAGAGCACACGTCTGATGAGTAACACCTCACTGCAGGGAATGAAATACTCCTAAGAAGTATACTTTCCAGGCAATTATCCTTTAGTTCTCAAAATGTCAAAAAGTTACATCTTACAATTTTTTTAATTCAGTCCATAAAAATGTACTACTGACAACAAACAACCTAATTTTAAAAAGAAACTGGAATAAACCTCTCTTCAAACCAATTTTTTTAAAAAGACCAGCAAACAAATAAAAAAAAAAAAAAACAACCACCAAACACAATAGACTTTTTTTCTTTAAAATTTTTTTTTTAAAGGAAGGGAAACAAATGATCAATAAGCACAAGATGCTCTAAGTCATTAGCTATTGTTGTTGTTGTTGTTGTTATGTGCCGTCGAGTCGAGTCCTTTGTGACTCATAGCGACCCTATGGACAACAGCCCTAAACCCTGCTCTATCCTGCGCCAACCGCACCGCCTCTGACACACCCATCCCGATTACCCCAGTCACGGAATCAATCCACCTCACAGAGGGTCTTCCCCTCCTGCTCCGTCCCTCTACTCTACCCAGCATGATGTCCCTCTCCAAAGACCTGTCTCTCCTTGCAACATGTACAAAGTATGTCAGATGAAGCCCCAGAACCTTTGCCTCCAAGGAGTAGCCTGGTTTAACCCTCCCCAGGATGAATCTGTTTGTTTTCTTGGCAGTCCATGGTACATTCAATACTCTTCTCCAACACCACAGCTCAAAGGCATCAATCTCCTTCTATCCTCCCTAGTCATTGTCCAACTCTCTGATGCATAACAAGTAATTGCAAAGACCAAGGCCTGTATCAGACGCACCTTAGTCTCCAGAGACACACCGTTGCTCCTGAGTACTTCAGAGAGGTCCCTAACAGCAGACTTTCCCATCGCAATACGTCTTTTAATTTCCTGGCTGCTGGTGCCAAGAGTGTTGACTGTGGAGCCGAGCAAACGGAAGCTGTGTACAATCTCAATCTCTTCGCCATCCATCCTGATGCTACCAATTGGTCCAGTGGTGAGAATCTTTGTCTTTTTGACATTGAGCCTCAGTCCATACTGAAGGCTGCAGTCCTTGACCCTCTGCAGCAAGTGCAGGAGGTCCTCCTCAGTTTCAGCAAGCAGGGTTGTGTCATCTGCGTAACGCAGATTGTTAATAGATCTTCCACCAATCCTGATGCCACAATTCTCCTCATAGAGCCCAGCCTCTCAGATAATCTGCTCTGCATACAGGTTGAAAAGGTATGGAGATAGGACACATCCCTGGTGTACACCCTTCCCAATTTTGAACCATGCACTGTTACCCTGCTCTGTTCTGACAACTACCTTTTTGTCCAAATATAGGTTTTGCATTAGCATGATTAAATGTTCTGGGATTCCCATTCTCCTCAGAGTCAGCCACAATTTATTATGATCCACACAGTCAAATGCCTTTGCATAGTCAATGAAACACAGATAGACATTCCTCTGGTAGTCCCTGCTTTCAGCTAAGATCCATCTGACATCAGCTACAATATCCCTAGTACCACGACCCCTTCTAAAGCCAGCCTGGACTTCTGGCAGCTCTCTGCTGATGTGCTGTTCCAGTCGTTTTAGGATAATCTTCAGTAGAATCTTGCTTGCATGTGAAATCAATGATATTGTTCTGTAGTTTACACAGTCTGTTGGTTCACCCTTCTTTGGAATGGAAATAAATATAGATCTCTTCCAGTCAGTTGGCCAAGTGGTTGTTCTCCAGATTTCTTGGCACAACTTGGTGAGCACATCCAGGGCACCATCTGTTATCTGAAATACTTCAATTGGTATACCATCTATTCCTGGGGCCTTATTTTTTTGCTATTTCCTTCAAAGCAGCTTGAACTTCTTCCTTCATCACCATAGGCTCTTAGCTATTAGGGAAGGAAAAATGAAAACCACAATACGATTAACAACTACAAAGGAGCCCTGATGGCTTAGTAGTCTGATGTTCAAATCCACCAGCTGCTCTAAGGAAAAAGATGGGCAAACTTCCTGACTTTGAAAACCCACTGGAGGATCAGTTCCCACTTGATGGTACTCAACAATAAGTATCAAAACCCACTGGTATTGAGTTGACTCTGGACTCACTATGACCTTCCATGGGGTTTTGGAAGCTGTAAATCATAACAAGAGGAGACTGTCCATCTTGCTCTCATAATGAGGCTATTGGACTAGAACTGCCAATCTTTCAGATAGCAGACCAACAAATTATGCACTAGGCCATCTGGTCTCCATTTGGGATGGCTATTATAAAAAAAGAAAATAGCAAGTGTTGACAATGATGTGGAGAAACTGGAGCCCTCATCTTCTGCTGTTAGAAACATAAAATGATCTAGCAGCTAAGGAAAACTGATTGTTGTTGTTGTTGTTATTGTTACGTGCTGTCAAGTCATCTGACACTCATAGTAACCCTATGCACAACAGCTCGGAAGCCTGCCCTGTTCTACACCAGTCTCACTGACTCTGACACATCTACCCTTATTGCCCTAGTTACTGTATCAATTCACCTAATCGAGGGCCTTCCTCTCCTGTGCTGTCCCTCCATCTTCCCAAGCATGATGTCCTTCTCCAAGGATCCCTCCCTCCTGGCCACATGCCCAAAGTATGTCAGCTGGAGCTTCAAAATCCTGGCTGGCCTCCAAGGAGAAATTTGGTTTGTCTCTCCAAGACAGAACTCTTTGTGTTCTTGGTGGTCCATGGTATGGAAAAGACTCTTCTGCAGCACCACAATTTGAAGGCATCGAATCTTCTTCTGTCACCCTTAGTCACTGTCCAGCTCTCTGATGCATAGCAACTAATTGCGAAGACCATGGCCTGGATTAAGCACACCTTAGTCTCTACACTGATAGCATTGTTTCTTAGCACTATGGAGAGGCCCCTGATAGTGGATTTACCTAACGTAATTTGTTTTTTGATTTCCTGACTGCTGGTGCCAAGAGTGTTGATTGTAGAGACGAACAAGTTATAATTGTTAAGAATCTCAATCTCTTTTCCATCTATCATGGCATTGCTAATTGGCCCAGTGGTGAGAATCTTTGTCTTCTTGATGTTTAGCCTCAATCCATATTGAAGAGTATAAACCTTTTGAAGCAAGTGTTTCAAGTCTTCTTCAGTTTCGGCAAGATTGTGTCATCTGCATAATGTAGGTTGACGAGTCGTGCTCCAATCCTGATGCCACATTCCTCCTCATAGATTCTGCACATAGATTGAAAAGGTATGGAGATAGGACACATCCTTGATGCACTCCTTTCCTGATTTTGAACCATACAATGTTTCCTTACTCTATTCTGAGGCCTGCTTCCTGGTCCAAGTATAGGTCTTGCATAAGCACAATCAAGTGTTCTGGGATTCACATTCTCCTCAAGGTTAACCACAGTTTGTTGTGATCCACACAGTCAAATGCCTTTGCATAGTCAATGAAACACAGATAGACATTCTTCTGGTACTTTTTGCTTTCTGTCAAGATCCACCTGACAGTGGCAATAGACCTCTTCTAAATGCAGCTTATAATTCTGATAGTTCTCTGTTAATGTATCGTTGCAGCTGTTTCTGGATAATCTTCAGCAGGATTTTGCTAGCATGAGATATTGTACGATAATTTCCACACTCTGTTGGGTCACCGAGGGTTGGTGTTTTGTTTTGTTTTTAAAATGAGAATAAATATGGATCTCTTCCAGTCACATGGCCAGGTAAACTGGTATGTCCTCAAAAAGTGAAACAAAGAATTACCATGTGACTTAGTAATTCCACTCCTATGCGTATACTTGGGAACTGAAAGCACAGATTTGAATAGACACTTGTACACTAATGCAGTTATTGTACTGTAGCTTTATTCCTCTATGTTCTTAGTAGACAAAATGTAGAAACAATGCAAGTGTCTATCAGAAGATGAATGGATAGGCAAAATATAATCTGCACCTACAATGGAATATTATTCTGCCAAAAGAGAAATTAAGTCCTAATATATGCTACAAAATGCTGAACTTTGAACATATTATTATGCTGAGTAAAATAAGTCAGATACAAAGGGATAAATAGTGCAGGAAATACGTAAAAAGAAAATGTTTGGCAGCAAAAGTTTACTAGTGGTTACCAAGAGAGCAAAGTGGGAGGTATAGCTCAAGTGATGCTGAGGGAAAGGAAACATTTCAGGGAGTAGATAGTGGTGGTGGTAGGACATCATGGTAAATGTAACTGTAACCCATTGTTACTATGGTTATTGTGTACCACTGAGTTAGAACTGACTCATAGCTAACCCTCCAGCAGGTCTGCAGAGGCAGTAAAATACATCGGAGGAGACGGTGATCTTCTTCCCATGGAGCAGCTAGCATATTTGAACTGCATACCTTTGAATTGGAGAGCAATTCCTTACCACTAAGCCCACCCAATAGTACATGAAAAGTGGTTAAAGTGGATAATTTTCATATATACATGAAATACACACACACACACACACACACACACACACACCTCTGGTGTTATACTACTAGCCTAAAGGCACTTGGTTTGAATTCATCAGCTGCTTTGTGTGTGTGTGTGTGTGTGAGAGAGAGAGAGACAGACAGACAGACAAGCTAAGAGTTGGTTCTAACTCAATGATACATAACAGCAGACCCTTGATGAGATGGATTGATTCAGTAATTGGGGTGGTGGGAGTGTGTCAGAGACAGTGAGGTTGGCACAGGATAGAGCAGGATTTAGGGCTCTTGTAAACAGGGTCATGGCTCGATGGCACATAACAACAACAACAACAACAAGAAGCCATAAAAATCTAAAAACCAAGGGAGCTCTGGTGGCCTAGTGGCAAGAAACTGCACTGCAATCCCAGAGGTACATGGTTCTAATCCGGCAGATGCTCTGCTGGAGAAGAAGAGGCAATCTCTTCCTATACCAGTCAGATCTGATTTGATGGTACACACACAAAAATAATATAGTAAAATAAAAATTTTTTAAAAAATCTAAAACCCTTCATTTAGATCTTTCTGGTACTTTGTTGGGAAGGAAAAGACACAATGCCTTTCTTTGCTTCCCTATCTGAATATAAAAAACTTGTTCAATTATGCTAGATGGAGAACCCTATGGAAAATCTGCACATACTCACTGTACGCTATTTCTTTTCTGTCAACTTATTTGAATAATTTATGCAGCTGAAACTATTTTGAATGTCAAGGGCAAAGCCTCTAGAATGTACACAAATTTAAATTCTTAATGTAAAATAAAATATCAACTAATTTCAATGTAATTTTAACAAATAATAAGGCCCTTCAACTAGTCCTTGGCAATCATTTAATTAGCAATATTCAGTTAGTTGCACCCAGGTTCCCACACTCTGGCAGCTCCTACACACCTATGCACATAACCTCAAGCTTCTGAAGTTTTACAGTAAGACTATCCTCAATGAATTTCTCTAGGCTGTCTTATAGGCAAACCATAAGCTTTCCAACCTTGGAAGGAGTTCTAAGAATTATCTACTTAATATTTATTTTTCTTTGGGATAAAACCAAAACAGGTACCACTGAATTAATTCTAACTCACAGGGACCCTAGGACAGTCTAGTATATTCAAGTTCAAACCTTTTGCCCAGTGAAAACGAACTGGGCATCCCAATAAAGAGGTACCCAGAATAAAAATATGGAAGCAAAGAAAATAAATTCTAAATCTAAGTTTAAAATTTTGCATGCTAATTTTAAAATCCACCCACACAAAAGCTCTTGATTAAAAGAAAATAAAAACCAAACAAAAACCCCCAAAACTTTCCATAACTGATTGTTGTTGTTGTTGGTATGTGCCATCGAGTCGTTTGCGACTCATAGCGACCCTATGCACAACAGCCCTAAACCCTGCTCTATCCTGCGCCAACCGCACTGCCTCTGACACACCCATCCCGATTACCCTAGTCACCGAATCAATCCATCTCATAGAGGGTCTTCCCCTCCTGCGCCGTCCCTCCACCCTCCCAAGCATGATGTCCCTCCCCAAGGACCCGTCCCTCCTGGCAACATGTCCAAAGTATGTCAGACGAAGCCCCAGAATCCTTGCCTCCAAGGAGTAGCTTGGTTTAATCCTCTCCAAGATGAATCTGTTTGTTTTCCTGGCAGTCCATGGTACATTCAGCACTCTTCTCCAGCACCACAGCTCAAAAGCATCCACTCTCCTTCTGTCCTCCCTAGTCATTGTCCAACTCTCTGATGCATAACAAGCGATTGCAAATACCATGGCCTGTATCAGGCGCACCTTAGTCTCCAGAGAGACACCGTTGCTCCTGAGTACTTTAGAGAGGTCCCTAACAGCAGACTTTCCCATCGCGATACGCTTTTTGATTTCCTGACTGCTGGTGCCAAGAGTGTTGACTGTGGAGCCGAGCAAACTGAAGCTGTGAACAATCTCAGTCTCTTCGTCATCCATCCTGACGCTGCCAATTGGTATCTATTTGCTCTAGGTTCTTGAAAGTCAAGAATTACTACCATGTGCTTGGTAGACATTTGGAAATTGTTAAAACCAAAACAAACCCAAGGGGTAAATTATGATCATCAGAAAAAGTGTGTTGTTTTTATAGGCTGCCAAGATGAAAATGACTGGTAAGTGACTCCCCAGCAGGTTTTCAGAGGCAAAATTTCCTTCTCCTGTGGAGTTGCATACCTTTGGAATTTCAGTACAGTTTACTACCATTAGGCCACCAGAGCTGGCTGGTCAAATATAGACATTTATATTGCTATTATATAAAAAGGGAGTTCTAGTGGCATATTCCTTAGGGAATTGATTTGCTGACGCAAAGATGACACCTCTCTAATGGTTCAAATCCAGTAAGATCTCTAAGGGAGAAAGATGGACAATCTCTTTCTGTGAGAATACAAGGTTTAATGACAATGAATAAATGATTATAAAAAATGATCTTTTAATTTTCTCAAGGTATATTCAAAGCTGTGGAATAGGTGAGTCATATGGAATTTCTATGTTCAGCTTTCTGAGGAAATGCCACAATGTCTTCAAGAGTGGTAGTACCATTTTACAATCCCACAAACAATGTATAAGAGTTCCTATCTTGCCTCATCCTCTCCAACATTTATTACTTGCTGCCCTGCTAAACTTTGCCACTGCTACTGGGGTAAGATGGTATCTCATTGTGGCTTTGACTTGCGTCTCTCCTATTGCCAGTGATTTTGAGCATTTCTTCATGTGTCTGTTGGCCATCAAAATATCTTCCTCTGTGAAAAGTCTTTCCATGTCTTTTGCCCATTTTGTAACTGGGTCATCAGTCTTTTTCTTGTGGAGGCCTTGTACACCAATGTTCATAGCAGTATTATTCACCATCGCAAGAACATGGAAACAGCCCAAATGCCTATGGTATATTCACACAATTAAAGACTATGCATTACGCAGAAGCAATGATTTTGTAAATCATTACCTAACTTGGGAGGGACTGGAGAGCATTATGCTAAGTGAACTAACACAGTCCCATAAGGAAAAATACTGTAAAAGACCATTAACGTAGAAAGAGATAATGAATAAAATGTGTATGAGAACCTAAGAGGGGAGGGTGGAAGCAGAGGGGTGAGGATGGGTGGGTGAGGGTCACACAATTTGATGGGTGGAGGGAGGGGTGAGTAAAAGAAAAGGGAATGGTCCAGTGTGAAAAACAACATATGAACTTTCTAAGTAAACCAGTATAACATAAAACTTTTATTTTAAAAATTATCTTTTAAAAATTAAACTAATCATGTCCCCCAGACAAAATGGATATTTATGTGGTCCAACTATATATATGCTCCAATATATGATCCTTTCTCCCATGGAGCACATGCCATCATGACTAATTTTATTTATTTCTCAAAGGGGGAAATGCAGCCTGAAGAAAATACTATGACTTGGGTAGGTAGACAATCATTATCACTGAAACGACATGATGAAGATTTGGCAATAAGTTAAAAGCTATTAAAAGAAAAGACCCTGGTGAAAAGGCTTTTTTCTGGAATTACAGATGACTGTGACAGCACTGAAAATGGCAGGACAGGACAAAGATTCCTGAAGAGAATCATCAAGGTACTGTTAGTTTGAATGGCCATTTATCATCAAAAGAAGAAAAACGCTCACAGTTCAGAAGTTCAAGTGGAAAATGGCAATTGATTTAATGTTATCATGTGCCTAGTCAAGTGTTGGGCATAAGAGATAACTTAATACCGAAAACTCACTGCTACTGAATCCATTCCGACTCATAGTGACCCTGTAGGAGAGTGGGACTTTCAGAGGGTTTCCCAGGCTGCACTCTTTCCAGGAGGAGCGCTGGAGCTGCTGTCTATAGTGTGCTGCAGTGCTAACCACCATACATATTCACCAGTTAACTCCACCGAAAGATGGGTGGCCTTCTCCCATTAAGATTTATACCGCTGGAAACTCAAAGGAGGGCCAATATGACTCTGAATCAATTCAATGACAGTGAGTTTGAACCTGAATCTTTACAGAAGCAGATCTTCAAATCTTTCTCCCATGAAGTACTGGTTTGACCTATAGATCCTTAGGTTAGCAGCTGACATCGTTAAACCAGTGCCCTTACCGAGGCGCCACATAAGTGTCTTGTTAAGTGAACAAATGAGGCGTAAACAAACCGGCCCCAAACATAACAGTCTATAGCCAGAATGCCAAATTATGTTGCTCTCCACATTCTTGATGTGGAAGATTATTAGCAAAGAGAGATGCAAACATTCTTCCCATTTCTGGTCACATTCTATTTTGTAATGTGACTGCCAATTCTGTCATCATGAAGTTTATTTTTCTACCCCTTGAATCTTGTGCTTTGGTTGATGAGACATTAGCAAAAGCCATGAAAGCATTAAAGTGCCTTTGCATTACGGTTTCCTTGCTCCTGCTGCAGGACATTCTTCTACTATCACATGAAGAGTCCTAGACTAGTCGACTGGAGGATGCCACATCATGGAACTGAGGTGACCGGTCCCTACATAGGCTTCCTATATGGCCAAACCCTAGATGACAGTAGCTGCATGAGTAACTTCAGGAGCAACAGAAGAACTACTCTAGAGAACTCAAACCACTGACCGTCAGGTCCATGGCCAAATGAAATCATGGTTGTTTTACACTGTTACATTTTTAGGTGGTTTGTTATAATAGAGAACAGACATATTTAATTAACTGGCATTCTTAGTTTCCATAAATGACACTAATGATACAGGATCAGCAGATGTACAGATGTCATTTTGTCTGTTTTGGAAAAGGTAACTTACCCAAGCAAGAGTTCCGGTGAGCGATACCACCTGGTGGCCACATACTCTGTGTAATTAGCATTGTTGCCTTCTGATAGATTCCTGGCAAAACCTGAAAGATAACAAAACCCAAAAGGTGAAATTTTGAAAAAGGAATAATAATTTCGTGGTGGCCAAATATTTCAGTATTAGTAATGTTTTAAGTGGAACAGAATGACTGATAATTGACATTGTTGTTTTTTTTTTACTAATAGTGTTCTTATTATTTTTAAGTTAGCTGATTGCTCAAATGGCAATTAAAATATAAAATATATTCACTACAAATTTAGTCTCTCCCTTGTGCTAAAGACATCTATGTTTCTTAAGTATCTCACATTTTTATAATCATCCAGGGAACACTTAAAAAGTAGTATAAAATAATGCAAATCTTAGGAACAAATTGCAATAGGAAATTCAAATCTTAGGAATAAAATGATGTTCACACAAGCAGCTAGACGTAAAAGGTAAACTAACATATAATACAATATCAATAATTCTGCTATGTGGAACTTACATAGTATTTGTGTGTCTCTGGAAACTCTATAAATGTACAGAAATGATGTTAATTAGGGAACAGAGTTCAGGTCTTTTGATCTTAAGGTTGTTATGAGCCCTATTTGACTTGGCGACACTTAACCACTAAGTGAGACTAGTGCTGTTTTATCTGGAGGAACACTCTTCCACTTTGTACCTCACTCTTTTGTCAATGTGCTATATGGAATAACTTGGGTTTGCTGTGATGCTGAAACTTGTGCCACTGGGGTAACAAATATCATAATGGTTTCCCATTTTGGACCATGCTTGTTGGAGCTCCAAATTGTACAACAGGTTTGGAAGCAGGCATGGCATCCACTTCTAAACCTCATGCTTCTGGAAACTCTATGAACTTGGAGAATGATGATAGTTATGGAAAGGCAGTAAGTCTTCTGTTCAGAGTCACTATGAGTCGTGGTCGATTTGACGACAATGAACAACTAACAACAACACTGTTGATCAATCCCAGTCATTACATAAACAAGTACCAGTTGACAGTGATGGAAACAAAGTAGAACAAAATTATTTTTGCATCCTAAAATGTCTAAGATACCTGTTACACCCACTGCCATCGATTACGACTCATAGCAACCCTGTAGGGTTTCCAAAGCTACAAATCTTCACAAGCCTGTCCCATATGCTTCCTGTGAGGTAGCTAGACAGCTGGAACTGCTAAACTTCTCGTTAGCAGTAGAAGGACTTACCACTGTGCTAGCAAAGGCCCTTGAGAAACATATTACTAACAACCAAATCCAACTCACAGCTGTTGAGTCAATTCTGACTCAACGGGGACCCTCCGTTGGGTTTCTGAGGCTGGGAATTTCATTGGAGGAGACCACCTCACCTTTCTGCGGCAGAGTATCCGACCAGTTTGAACCCTCCTTCAGTTAGCAGGAGCCCAACGCTTAACCTACTACCCCATGAGGCCCTTCAAGAAACACGTGATCTTATCACTTCATAGACCTTTCCCGTGTTCTTTTAAAAGGTTTTTTTCTTCTTTTTTTTTGGGGGGGGGCGTCACTGCAGAGCCACAAAATAAACAGCAGGATTAACTAACTACTCATGTAACTCACCAAAAGCAACACAGATCACTTAAATAGTCACCAAGAAAAAGAACATTAAAATGAGGGGGTGTCACTCTTGAAAAATGGAAAATATCATTTAAGAAATAAAACCTAATGATAATGAAAAGTAAAACCATTAAGCTCCGTTAATCTATGTATACATAAAGAATAATTTTTTTAAAAAGATGTATATTTGTGTGTGGGTTCTACATGCTCTGTGAGAGAAAGCAAGTGCAAGCTTCAGTGGGAGGCACACATAGGCCTCACACTGTGCTCGCGGCCGCTCAGTTCTCTTACCATTCATTCAAGCAGTCCTTCCTTTAGTAAATGCTGTTGGACTGGGCTCCTCTTTTCCTATTAGCAACTTTTACAGGCCTTTCTTTTTAGAACTCGCTTTAGAAATTTCAGCCACTTTCGAGTTTAAGCAGATCACCTACCATAGATTCACGAGGCATAATAAATGGAGCATGAGATGCATAAAGTCTCAGTAATAATTGCAATTACGGATGGGAAGTCAGGCATAGGCATTATTCCTGAAAAGCATAATGCTAAAGAAATTTAAAAAATGCCAAGATAAAAATCCTTCAGATACCTTATTCAGTATTATATAAAGATAACTATTGCATATACACAATACATCATATGTGTGTTTCATAGGCATAATTTTTTTGTTTATAATTAAACTTAGAACAATTTCTATACATACTAAAACCAGTTTTTATCCTATAACCCAGAAGGCCATAGAGATTATTTCTTGCAAACATCGTTTCATAAAATATATGCATATGCATTTATCTGCTGTGAAGACTCTAAACAAAAATACTATATGATGAATTAAGGAGTCATGGTCATCTGATAGTTAAGTACTAGGCTTACTGAAAAGTCAGCCATTCAAAGCCAAAACCTGCTCTACAGAGAAAAAGATGAGGTGGTCTTCTTCCCTAGAGATCTACTGCCTTGGAACCCCTATGGCACAGTCCTACTATGTCCTATATGGTCACTGCGAGAATTCAACTCAATGGCAGTAAGTTTTAAGATACGATGGATTTTAATAGTAGTATACAATACTATACAGACCAGAGAAGAATAGAATTCATTGAGCAAGCAGTTTCTCAACCAACAGGATCCTCCTCTACTAAAATGAGTCAAACATTAAAAAAAACAACCTAATGACGAAAAAGCAACCTGTGCATTAATACTAATTTTGTAGAGATCATGACTCCAATTTCTTTTTCACTTACCAAAGTCGCATAGTTTCAGAACATCATTGTGGCTGATTAAGAGATTTTCTGGTTTTATATCTGAAGGATCAAGATTAAAAACCATTATTAAAAACACTCCATTTTCTGCTGATTGACACTGTTCCACCCCATAACTGCACTTAATTAGAAAAATCCAAAGTAATTTGAATGGAAATCTGTGCAGCAAAAAGCACTGTAGCACATTTGATGCTAGTACAAAAAAGTTTCAATTAATTGCATTTCTAGAAACACATACATCACAAATTTAAAAAGATTTTTTTTTCCTTTAAATCATAAAGGAATTGGATCTCTGAAAATAATTTAATGACTGTATCTAGGTCAACACATTTCAAGGAACTATTACTAATAAACTAATAATATAACTATTTGGAGATAGAATATAAAAATTTTATAACTTCAAGGTTGTTGTTGTTATATGCTGTCGAGTTGCTTGCGACTCATAGTGACCCTATGTACAACAGCTCTAAACTCTGCTCTGTCCTGTGCGAATCTCATTATCTCCGACACACTCATCCCGCTTGCCCCAGTCACCGAATCAATCCACCTCCCAGAGGGCCTTCCCCTCCTGCGCCTGCCCTCCACCCTCCCAAGCATGATGTCCTTCTCCAAGGACCAGTCTCTCCTTACAACATGTCTAAAGTATGTTAGACGGAGCCTCAGAATCCTTGCCTCCAAGAAGCAGCCCAGTTTAACCCTTTCCAGGATGAATCTGTTTGTTTTCCTAGCAGTCCATGGTATTCTCAATACTCTTCTCCAGCACCACAGCTCAAAGGCATCAATTCTCCTTCTATCCTCCTTGGTCATTGTCCACAACTCTGATGCATAACAAGTGATTGCAAAGATCATGGCCTGTATCAGACGCACCTTAGTCTCCAGAGAGACACCACTGCTCTTCAGTACTTTGGAGAGGTCCCTAACAGCAGACTTTCCCATAGCAATAGTCTTTTAATTTCCTGGCTGCTGGTGCCAAGAGTGTTGATTGTGGAGCCAAACAGACTAAAGCTGTGAACAATCTCAATCTCTTCACCATCCATCCTGATGCTGCCAATTGGTCCAATGGTGAGAATCTTTGTCTTCTTGACATTGAGCCTCAATCCATATTGAAGGCTGCAGTCCCCTACCCTCAGCAGCAAGCGCTTAGGTCCTCCTCAGTTTCAATTTCAAGGTACTTTACAAATATATGAGAGCAATACACTTTTCTTTTACATTTAGTTATCTTTTCAGCATTTCTGTGTGGTTCACAATTATAAATGTCTAATGCTGAGGCTATCTATATTGGATGAGTCAGGGTACAATTTCTAATTTTTCCACAGATCTTTTGAAGATGTGGTAGGAGTTGAGGAGTAGAAATACACAGAAAATGGAATTGAATTCCATGAAAATCTATTTTAAAGTATGTTACCCATCATTTATAACATATGATAGAAGGGAAAGAAGCAGAGGTGAAATCTGTAGATTTTAGAATCTTGGTTTCTACTGTGTATTTTCAACCACTATGTTGTTGTTGTTGTTATGTGCTGTCGAGTTGCCTGAGACTCATAGTGACCCTTTGTACAAAAGCTCTAAACCCTCTCTATCCCGTGTCAATCTTATTGTCTCTGATACACCTACCGCTATTACCCCAGTCACTGAATCAATCCATCTCTTCTAGGGTCTTCCTCTCCTGTGCTGTCCCTCTATCCTCCTAAGTATGACCTCCCTCTCCAAGGATTGGTCCCTCCTTGGTCCAATGTATGTCAGATGAAACTTCAGAATCCTTGCATCCAAAGAGCAGCCTGGCTTCACCCTCTCAGGGATGAACTTGTTTGTTCTCCTAGTAGTCAATACTCTTCTCCAGCACCACAGCTCAAAGGCCACCAATTCTCCTTCTATCATCCCTAGTCATTGTCCAGCTTTCTGATGCATGGCAAGTAACTGCAAAGGCCATGACCTGCATCAGGCACACTTTAGTCTCCAGATTGACATCATTACTCTTCAGTACTTTGGAGAGGTCTCAGACTTTCCCAATGCAATTCGTCTTTTAATTTCCTGGTTGCTGGTACCAAGAATGTTGATTGTAGAGCCAAGCAAACTGAAGCTGTTGACAATCTCATTGTCTTCACCATCCATCCTGATGCTACCAATCAGCCTAGTGGTGAGAATCTTTGTTTTCTTGATGTTGAGCTTCAATCCTTATTGAAGGCTGCAGTCCTTGACCTTCTGCAGCAAGTGTTTCAGGTCCTCCTCAGCTTCAGCAAGCAAGATTGTGTCATCTGCATAATCTCCAATCCTGATTCCTCCTCATAAAGCATAGCCTTTTGAATAATCTGTTCTGCACATAGATTGAAAAGGTATGGAGATAGGACACATCCTTGCTGCACTCCTTTCCTGATTTTGAACCATACAGTGTTTCCTTACTCTATTCTGATGACTGCCTCCTGGTCCAAGTATAGGTTTCACATAAACACAATCAAATGCTCTGGGATTCCCATTTTTTCAGAGTCAAGCACAGTTTGTTGTGATCCACACAGTCAAATGTCTTTGAATAGTCAATGAAACACAGACAGACATTCCTCTGGTAGTCTTTCAGCCAAGACCCATCTGACATTAGCTATAATATCCCTAGTACCACGGGCTTTTCTAAATCCAGCCTGCACTTCAGGCAGTTCTGTGTTCATGTGCTGTTCTAGTCATTTTTGGATAATCTTCAGCAGAATCTTGCTTGCATGTCCTATCAATGATACTGTTTGATAATTTCCACTTTGTTGGATCATCTTTCTTTGGAATGGGAACAAATACAGATCTCTTCCAGACAGCTGACCACATGGTTGTTCTCCAGATTTCTTGGCACAACTTGGTGAGCACATCCAGGGCAGCATCTGTTAGCTGAAATATGTCAACTGGTATACCATCTATTCCTGGGGCCTTATTTTTGGCTATTTCTTTCAGAGCATCTTGAACTTCTTCCTTCATCACTATAGGCTCTTGCTCATACGCTGTTTCATGAAATTCTTCTGTGTCTGCCAATTCTTTCTGGTACAATGACTCTGTATACTCCTTCCATCTTCTTTTAATCCTTCCTGGATCATTTAATATTCTGCCCAAAGTATCCTTCAGTATTGTAACTCGAGGTTTGAATTTGTTCTTCTGTTCCTTCAGCTGAAGAAATTCTCAGTGAGTTTGGCTCTTTTGATTTTCTGACTCCAGCTCCTTGCACATTTCATTGTAATACTTTGTCTTCCCATACTGCCCTTTGGAATCTTCTGTTCAACTCCTTAACATCTTGATTTCTTCCCTTTGCTTTGGCTTCTTGGTGCTCTAGTGTAATATTCAGAATTTATTCTGACATCTCTCTTGGTTTTTTCTTTCTCTTCTGTCTTTCTTTTTTCTTTTTTATTTAAAACTTCGTTAATAAAAGTAAAATTTCAGTACTCTGAGAATGCAAATACAGAGGAACTCCTACACAGGGTCAGAGTGGAGCCTGGACCTCAGAACTTCTATCTCCATTGACTGAAATGAGCTTGTCTTTTTTTTTTTTCCATAATTTTAATGAGCATTACAGAGATTTTGGATTTCCATTCATTCATTGCTGCACTTCTCTCCTCGCCCATCCCCCCCGCCCCCAGTTCGCTCCTCTCTTTCAGAAGTAAAAGAAACACTCCTTCGCTGGTACACAATGCCCCCGCACCCCTCCCACCGCCCCAAGTACATTCCACTATTAAACATCTGGTCTTCTCTCATTAGTGTTCAAGGCCTGAAACCTGTTCCTGAGATAGTTTTGGAATTCAGGCAGGATAGACTCAAGGTCAAATTTTGGTTCTCGTGGACTTGATTTAATTTTCTTTAGTTTCAGCTTGAACTTGCATATAAGTAGTTGGTGGTCTGTTCCACAATCAGCACCTGGCCTAGTTTTCACAGCTGATACTGAGCTTCCCCAGAGACTCCTTGCACAGATGTAATCAATCTGGTTCCTATGCAGTATACGTTTAACCAAATCACAGTATCACTATAGAAATACAGCTAAATCAGTTGTTAACATCATCAAACTGTAATGCATAACTTTCAGAATAATCATCTTAGACATTAAAGGACTATTTGGTTTAGCTATATTTCTATCTAGGCTACCAACAAAACAACCTTGATAGGGGTACTCATACAAAAGACAAATGAGATGGAAAAATATAGTTTCCTTTTAGGAGTTGGTATTCTTAATATGACTTTGAAACTAGTCGTAAAGTTGGACTAGGTTTAAAGTTACAATCTTCGTGTGTTTGTACTGATAAACTAAAATTTGATATCCATTTATCTGACACTGGCAAAGATAAGTGGATATTGCAACATTTTCTGAGAAACATTTAAAAATGTCATTATTTTATAAATTTGTATGCCACAACAAAGTCTAAAATTCTAGTGTGCAATTGAGATTAGAAGATAAATTATGCAGCATCAAATACAGTACTGAGCAAGTAATTTATTTTTGTTACCATAAATCACTTACCTTATGGTCGTAAAAGACAAAAGAATGACCTATGTGGGAGGATAATCATGGTCTTTAGGCAAGATCAAAGATTGTGGGTTCTTTGAACAAACTAACCAAGCAGTTGAGGAAGATCTATATTGGAGATGGTTATTTAAGGGGGAATGAGAGGTGGCTGTCTATCTAGAAGATATTTAGAGGCCAAAGTCTTATTTGAGTTGTTCATTACCTGGTCTACCTGGAGGACTTTGTTCCCCCCTCTACTTCCTAACACATGAGCTTTGAAGTTCACTAGGTGTTCCATAGTCGAAAGAGAATCTAGTTATGCAAACACTAGAGATCTCACCACAATATCCAAAGAAATTTGTAGGCCATTCCTTAGGTGATACAAATGAAATCTGGAGGACAAAAGATCTTATATTCTATACTTCTAAACTGTGTTTCATTTACATGGAAATGTTAGAAATATTCTTAAGCTGGGAGCATGTGAAAAATTCCATGTTTTATGTTTTATTTAATATTTTCTATTTTAAAAAATCCCATACTCACCTCTGTGAACAATGTCATTCTTATGGCACCAGTGAATTGCTTTGATTAGCTGGTAGATATAGCTTTTTACTTTTTCAGGTGGAACCCCATTTGGCATTTCTTCCAGCAATTCCAGCATATTCTAAATATCAAATAAGGTGTCATTAATCTTTAATGTTAGGTAGTCCAATAAATCATTAGTAACAATTTTAAAAAGCATCTTGAATGATGAGTCATCTAATACAGAGCATGAGGTTTTTATTGTTTTGCTTTCCCTTTAATGTTGAATAAGTATATTGTATTGGATCAAGGTTTTCTTTTAAAAGAAATTTTGTTTTTTACTACTCCCCATCACTGCCTCAAGTAACTCTGTGTACTTTCCAGCCCTCTCAAGGCCCTCCAGTCATCATTTTAGAACAATTTCAAGGGAACGGTGATAAACACTGGAGATAAGATATTGTAATGTACAAAGGGAGGAAAACATTTTAACATAGTATTTATCATAATAGTGTACATTGTTGGTATTGTGAATCTTTTAATAGAACTTTCCAATAAATTCAAGCCTTGTAAATATTTGTGAAACCCCTAAACCATCTTCTTAAAAGAAAAACACAAATTAAAATTATTCTTAAAATTAGAGCTGATTAATACATTAATCCACAGCAAAAAAAACTAAAACAAGCTAGAAACATAGAAATAAAAGTTCAGAGACATCAAACAAGTAAAAACTCATTCACAAGGTGGAGTCATATACATCATTAAAAAAACGGTTAAGTCAAGGAGATGGAATCAGTTAAGTGGGGAAAGACCGTTTCTTTAACAAATAGTGTTGGTGGAATTGGAAAGCCATCTGCAGAAAATTTAAGCAAGACTCACACCTCACAACTTATACAAAAAACAACTCAAAGTGGATCAGGGACCTAGAAATGAAACCAAAGACTGTAAAATTCATCAGAGTAAAGCTAGGAAGAACTCTAGAGCTCTAGTCCACAGCATGAACAGTCTTTCAAGCATAAGAAAAAGCATATGACCAGGACAGAATGAAATAGAGAAATGGGACCTTCTAAGATTCAAATTCTTATGCATATCAAAAAACTTCTCCAACAGGGTAAGAAGGAAACACACAGACTTGGGGAAAAAATTGGCAATGGCAATAGATAAAGGACTCATAACTAAAATTTATACAATACTCCAGAACCTCAACAAGAAAAAGGTAAAAAAACTCAATCACAAAATGGGCACAGGAATATGAATAGACACTTTACAAAAGAAGACATTCAGATGGCAAACAGACACATGAAGAAATGTTGAAAATCCTTAGCTAGTAGAGAGATGCAAATCAAAATAGCTTTGAGATACCATCTCACTCCAGTAACAATAGCAAAGTTCAACAGGATAGCAAACAACAAATGGTGGTGGGGTTGTGGAGAGATTGGAACTCTTATTCACTGCTGGTGGGAATGTAGATTGGTACAACCACTATAGAAGGCAGTCTGATGCTTTCTCAGAAAGCTGGAAATAGAAATAGGGTTTGACCCAGCAATTCCACTACTGGGAATATACCCTAAAGAAACCAGAGCTTCCACCCGAACAGATGTATGCACATCCATGTTTACTGCTGCATTATTCACAATAGCAAAGAGATGGAAGCAACTCACGTGCCCATCAACAAATGAATGAATAGAAATTGTATGGTATATTCACACAATGGAATATTATGCAGCACTGAAAAACAAGGAACTAATAAAATATTATACAACATGTGTGACCCTAGAGGGCATTATGCTGAGTGAAATATCTCAGTCACAAAAGGGCAAATATGGGGGAGGGAGGAGTGGGCAGAGAGAAAAATCCAAAGAATGGAAATCCAAAGTCTCTGTAAATGTTCATTAAATGAATATAATTTTAAAAAAAACCCAAAAGGACTGTGAAACACCATTGTTATAAAACAAAATTAGCATGTGGGTTGGGGGAAACTGAGAAAAGAAGGGCTAAATAATGAATAATGAATACTGTATTGGAACAGATGACGGAAAGAACTGTTTCAAAGGAATACATGATTAGGCATTATCTGTATGACAACAGTCCAGAATAAGAGGTGTATGGTAAAATGGACTGGGTGAGGGGGGTGAAGGAGGATATCATACAACAATGAATGTTTTTAAAAGTGAACTGGGGGAAAAAAGTGAACTGGAGGGGAAGGGAGGAAAATGTACAGCAATGAATGAATAAAAATCTAACTTTTCAGTGAACTTTTCTTAAAATCACAATAAAATGGGGGGGGGACTAGACAAGAATTCACGAAATACTGAACAACATGGCTGAATCTAGAACACATTATCCTGAGTGATGTCTGTCAGCCACGAAAGGACAACTATGCTATAAAACCACTAATATAAGAAGCTAAAGAACGTTTACACTCAGAATAGATCTTGGAGGGTTAACAAAGATGAGAAGGGATTAAAAAATGAAAAAATAGGTAAGTTGGGTGAAGGGAAAGGTAGTATAAGAGTTTTTGATTAATTTTTAATTATAATTACATTATAAAACCAAATGTCTATAAATTATTGAATGAAAAGCCAATAATAGTATCTGTAAAGTATTACATACAAAAACAAATGTTAAGAATTTTCTTGTGTGGAGCCAGGGACTATTCTCAAAATCATGCAGTATTTTTTTTAAAAATAGAAAACTCCACTTGAGCAATCTCCACTGAATTCTTAACATAACCAAATATTTTCCATTCCCTCCATGCAAAAAATGACTATTGTCTACAACAGGAAGGCCTAGGACAGGAGTTCTCAAAAGGTGACCCGCAGCTGCAGCTACCTCTCCGGGGCCTGTACTGAGATGTTATTTGCGTTTCCCATTGCAATCACAGTTACACTGACAATACAAAAACAATGGTGGGTGAAAGTGCTGGCACTTCAGAACAGATCAAGGTCTTGGAGTCTTCGATGCCGTATCTCATAAGATGTAATTTTATGAGGACATCCTTAATAAAGCAGTAGGGATTACGTTGCATCTTGATTCCTGCATACACCTCCTAAGAACTTGTAAGCTAATGTGAGGAATCTGCTACCTTTGAAAGCCTGATGGTTGTCTTGAGGAAAAGCAAGCAAGTGACCAAGTTGCAAGTACTTTTTGTGTAAAACACAAGTTTTATATGAAATAATGACTGTCATACAAACCGTGGCTATTCAGGCAGATAGTTCCTCAAAAACAAAGGCTCTGTCACTTCAATGTCATTTCTTTTTTTTTTTTCCCCAATGTCATTTCTAATGCGAAACCTATACTTGGACCAAGAGGCAGTCATCAGAACAGAGCAGGGCAACACTGCATGGTTCAAAATTGGGAAAGGTGTACGCCTTTCTTTTTACATACTTTTTCAACCAGTATGCAGAACAGATTGTCTGAGAGGCTGGGCTCTATGAGGAGAAGTGTGGCATCAGGTTTGGTGGAAGATCTAGTAACAATCTGCGTTATACAGATGACACAAGAGCAAGTTAGAGACATCTAATTGGACTTTTGTTTCTTGTCTTTATTTTTTACGTATAATACCCTTAATACGATCTCCTAACTTGTCAAGTCCTCCATCATTAGTATTCAATGAGGGAAATCTACTATTGAGATGGACTATAAATTCAGATGGAATATACTCTAGGTCATATTTTGATGCTCTACTTGCTTTAATTTTCTTTAGCTTCATTTTGAATTTGTATGTGAGCTATTGTCTGTCGTACAGATGGCGCTGGGCTTGTGCAGACTTATGAAGTGAGCTTCTCAATCACCTCCTTCTACAGATAAAGTTGATTTGGTGACTATGTATTCTATGAATGGAGGCCATGTGTAAATAATCGTTTATTTTGTTGGGAGAAAAAAAGGCACTGAATATGTCCACGGTCTTGCAAAATTCTACCAAGTAGGCTGTTAGTCTTTTTGATTATCAAGTTCCAGTTTTCTAGTTAGGGATTCTTCTTTGTTGTTTCCAACTTTGACATTCCAATAACCATTAATTACCAGCATATCTTGAATGCATGCTAGATCAATTTTACAGTGTGGAAGTTGGTAAAACTCTTTAATTTCTTTTTCTTTAGCATTAGTGGCTAGTGCATAAATATGAACAGTTGTATTACCTAGTCTTCTTTTATGCTTATGGACATTCCTATCATTGACACTATATGGATTTTATCTCATAGTTTATTATCTTTTACTTAAGATTAATGTGGTAGAATCGGTATATAAGAGAGATGTGGAACCTGAATTGTTGGAAGGTTATTAAAATGTTCTAAGGCGTGAGACAAGAACTGTGCTTATCCAATTGTGCCAATGGAAACCAAGGAAAGAACAGATTTTAAAATCTACCAGTAGTCTCTTTAAATGTAAACATTTTGTGAAACTACCTATGTACCCAATACAGTTCATTTTTATTTAAAACTTTAGTAGTTTATCATGCATTCATCCTTCAGATGTGAACTGAGAGCTTATTCTATCTTAGAATAGAACAATGATTGTAAAATGTTGAGGTAGGAAAGGTCCTTATCCTTATCTTAGCATCGTACTCCCAAAGAAGGACAGCTCAGCATGATCTAAAATGTGGATACTTGCCAAATCTGTTGTCCTCTGGGCATCTTTTGCCTTTGCCTCCTGAGACTCATTGTCAATTATTAATGACAGGATGTGGTTAATAACTATCAGGTGTGATGATCATCGTCTTACAAACCACAGGGGAGGAGAAGAATGTCAAACCTGGGGGCAGGAGTCGGGGCTTGAAGGGGTAGTCAGAAGATTCAAGCCCTAGTAGCAGCTCTGGTCACTTAGTGGCAGAGATCTCAGGAAAGGCCAAATTGTTTCTCCCAGTGAGGAAATAGGTTCACAAAGGAGATTTCTCCATTTCTTCTCCCAGACTAAATTATTATTACCCATGAATAATCACTATGATAGAACAGAAATTTTTTAAAAAGATACTCTGAATGAAATGTGTCACAATTTTATTACTTGGCTGAGAAAAGGGAAACTGCACGATTCTCTCTGATAACTGAAAAAGAAAGAACATCTGATTTTCCGTGGGATTTTAGTACAGCAATTCTTTTCTTTAAAAAACTTTTTAAATTTTTTTATTAATTTTAATGAACATTTACA